ACAGAAAATAAAATCATTTTATTCTTTTTCGAGAGAAAGTAGATTTCTTTGAAAGTTGGTAGCAAGGACCAAGGAACCAAGTTCTGCACACGTGGTTTCCCAAAGAAAAGAAACACCATGTCGATATCAGTGGACCCAGAAACTGCAAAGAGGCGCCTGGCGTTTCAGAAGAGTTACAGCATCGAGGTAGGGGCGTTGCCAATTTCAACAATACATACTCTTAAATGTAGGTAATTTCCACGAAACATTAACCTGCGGATTAACTAAATACGTCTTTGTTTTCAAAACAGGAAGTAACTTTCACAATTAAAACTAGAATTCGTATAAGCTTATTTAATCGAATCATTGCAATAAATGTCAGTTCTTAAGTGGTTTGATGTGTGAAGTTGTCCTTTTCTCTATAACTGGAAGTTTCCTTTGCAAAAATTCGAAATACTTGAAATGAACTGAAAGAGAATCGAAAAACTTATAGAAGAGTGGTAGGAAAGCTTTTCGACCCAGGCACCTTTTTCCAGTAACAGTGTAAATACAAAAAACCCGTCACACATAGATGTGGATAGGCATCACTAGGCATGGTGGGTGGGTCAATCATGGCAATTGCCTACCTGGGGCAACCACATATTTTTTGCTGATATGATTTCTGTTAGCGCTCCAAGAGAATAACAAATATTATTCAAGTATCACAAAGTCACCAAAAAGCGTGCCTTTCTTATCGCATTAGCCCAAATTTGGTTTTGTCACCTGCTCTTTACGCGAGATTAGTAGATTTGAGTTTCATTGATCATTGCTTTAGGCAGTTGTCTCAGATTTCTTCTACAAGACACTTATCAAATGGATACAGTTTTAAGGTGATAGGAAATATTGAAATGATTGAAAAAGAAAGATAAATGATAGCACTGAATCTGATTTTTAGTTCTCTTTACTTACGGAGGAAAAACAACAGAATATTGATGAAGCGCTAAATAAGTGCGTTCGTTGTTATCTTATGTAAAGACCAGTTATTTTCAGGCGTGTTTATTGACTTCTTATTCTTAATTCGTAACCAAAATAGATCGGAACCGTTTTTAATATTTGTCTAAGACCGAACAATAGAACGTTCGACAAGATGTTTCCATCGAAAGAATGAGTTGAATTAAGTGTACCATCAGTCCATTACACGCAATTCAGACTACCTTATGGTGACTGCTCTTAATGCATTTAGCTGAATTGTTCGGCATGCCTAAAGACCGATGGTGAGTTCCGTTACCGGCACAGTGGCAACGTCCCCGGAGGACTCTTTGGGTCGGTCGTTTTTGACTTGCTAACCTTTTCAATAGACTGGAGTCAATGCGGGATAAAATGGCAATCCCGCAAATTTAGAAGCCTAATGAGGCATTGTGGAGGGACGCGCTGAATGGTACCTCCAGCCAGGAAAATAGATTTCATAACCGCGCTTGATTACACGTTGTTGACTCTAACTGTGAAGATTTCTGAAAAATTGTTTGAATAAAGCACTGCGAATGTTTGAAGTTCCCCAGAAGCGCACGGAGACACTGCCAAGAATACTCAAGTACACCCACTTAGTGCAACGTGACGTGTGGCTGTGCTCCCTGGCATAAACAAAGGAAATAAAAGCATTTGGGTTTTAAGAGCAAAATCATTAAAAGTAATCACCATCATTGGCTTATTTCTTTAAAAATAATCACCGCCATCGATTTATTTCTTTAAAAAAGATAATAAAAACTAAATACTTCACAATTACGAAAAAAAGGCTAAGTAGAAAGCTGTGCCATTTATTTCGGTAAATATCGCACTTTTTGTCCCTTTCTAAACTCCTAATCATATCGCAGTTCATTTTCATTAAAAGGCCGCCTACTTTGGATCCACACAAATTTCACCGACAGAAATCACGCAAGAAGTTGCCTACGCGTCAATCTTTACCCCGGTCGCTTTGTAAACATTCAAAATGGACAATTTCCTATTTTATTACGTGAATAAAAGCACAATTATAATATGGATATTGCGCTTATCATCCAATCAAATTATGTAAACATTGATTGTCACGTCAAGCGTTAATTTCTATATCACTGATTGGTATCGCGATTGGCAGGCACTGAAACAAGATATAATTCTTACGAAACGGTGCTCCGCGGGTTCTACATTAAACGCACGCGTTTTTCTTCCTGTTAAAAGTATTCGTCACTAATACGTCTATCGACTTTTACCCTAAGGTTTGTTGGACAATCGGTGTATTAACAACATATTTGTCCAGCTCTAATAGCTGGCTCTTTGGCGGTAGCATAAGGTGTGGTGGTAACGTCCGTCCATTGATAAACAGGTAAATCCAAATCAATGATTCGGACCGCATGCTTTATGAAAATCATCCGAGATAGACTTAAGTCTCGCGACTTAGCGTAAAATTGAGCGAGATTTGGAGAAGGTCAACAATAATGGCAGACTAGCGAGTGCGTTGCAGCAAAGAACAAAAACTGATTTTTTCCACGGATATTACTCTGATTATATTTCTATCGAATTTCAGTCTATTGCACATTCCAAATTCACCAAGATTTGCATGTCACTATCTTATTGTTTTCCAAGACATTCCTGGCTCAAACAATTACAGCCTCAATTCCATCACCCCATGCGGATTTTTGCATTTTCTAGACTCATATGCCGTCACGCAGTTTTAGGCTATTTCGAGTGGTTTCCGTTTAGGTCTGTCTGTTAAAAAAGATACTGTTTAGAATTTTGATGAATAGGAACGTAATTTTAGCTCATTGTCCATTTAACGCTCATTGCGGATTCTACAGTAAAATATGCTCAAAATACGCTTTGTATTTGTTATTGACAATAAAATGTTTTTGGTTTTCTGTTTCCCATCAAAACAAATGGAAAATGCTTATAAATTGAATGTTTTTGATATACCATTCACACATACATACGTGGTATAACGACGCATATGTGACACTTATGGTCCAGCACCCACTGTTCAGTATTTTAATCAAAATCGCAATATTGACAGTCGTAAATGACACTAGAAGCTAAGTATGTCACAAACGGTGACATGCCATTAATGAAATACCCCTATCTCAGTAAAGTTTTCACTAGGACCTGCAGCTGTAGTTATAAATAAATAATGATCATATTTTCAAAACGCTTGTTGGAATAAAAAGAACAAATCAAGTCGCTGTTCAGTTTATACTACATATATCCTTTCAGAAACAAAATGTTCTCAATAAACATTTACATACACACAACGGACAATAGAAGTGTCACCCTTACTGAACCAATACTTTGGGGGAGATAAATGACTGTGGAATGATATGCTCCTGGTATCATTTTATTAACATCAAATTTCACACACAAAAAAAAAAAAAATAAATAAATAAAATAAAATAAATAAATAATGAACACCAGGCATTATAACTACTCAAGATCTGCCTACTTTGATTATTGACTACTTGATTATTATTTGATTACTCTGATTCAGGGGGTGACACTTCTATTGTCCATTGTGTGTAATTCACGGTCGTACGTATAATTATTATGTATATGTTTTATTACTGTTACATGTATATGTCCTTATGTTCGTTAACTACTACAAGCCACTGTTAACTTGCACAATCTCAAACCATAGACCCCTCTTTGTTCTTCAGCACGGAGGCTCCTGGCGCCGTAAGAGCCTGATTGATGATGCCAAATTTGAGACCATCACAAACGCAGAGTTTGAGAAACAAGAGCAAAAACTAACCCTGAATGGCTCCATATCAGAAGACGATGTTTTCATACCAAATGGTGACGCCCATAATATTCTTCATGACGACCTTGCTCCCAGGAGCAGCTCCGTTATGCTTTCCTTAAAAGAAGAAATGACTGCTCTACCGAAAATTTTGAAGACATTTGAGGTAGGTTTTTTATGTATATGTTTTATGGAAATCCTTTCTTTCTAAGGAACATTTGTTTATTAGAGGCATTTTACATGTTCCACTGGATTGAGGTATTACATGTATAGCCACAATTTAAGTCTCTTCGGCCTAACTGCTGGAGAAATATTGAATGGTTTACATGGTTGGAATATTTACTTCTCATACTCATTTCAATCGATATATTATCCAAAAATCCTTTTCGGGAAAATTGACACTTTAAATAATAGTAATTCTTACATCGCCATTACACCTTGCGAAAGTGAAATGGTAGGGCACCTGCCTGTCGATTGGAATAAAGCCAAGGTGGCTGAAGTCTACTCCGGTCATATTTTCAAAGAAAGATGGATGGCTGTATACTTGTGCAAATACTATATTCCATTGCTCTCGTCAGCTATTTAACTTGATGGGATTTTCGAAATGAATTTCACTTGTTCGGCGGGAAACGCTAGCTTAATGTGATTGATTTTCAGTTTCTGCTATCGCTCCGTTTCCTTCCTTACTTCCTTCTTAATTGTAAAATATTTTTGACATTATGGCTGTAAAATGATGGAATTTAGTACGGATTCTGCTTCAACTACCCAAGAGTCATTGATCGTCTTATAACTGATTTTTGTCAGACTAAAGTTTAAGTGCCACCATTTTTTACAATTATAACGAAACCTGCATTGGGTCACTTGAGAAGGGCGACAAAAATGGATAACTTCATAGCAATGAAATATACTTTCTAGCAAAAAATCTACAAAACTATAGTGATTATTCTTTTCACTACGGCAAACTAAGAAACATGAACCAATTGTCTTGGTAGATTCTAAATTTTACTTTTCGTTTTTAGAATTTCAAAGTCAATATCCGGCACATAGAATCACGGAATTCTCGTAAGATAGAAGCCCAGTTTGAAATATTTTTGCAATGCGATTCTACGAGAGAAGCCATAACATCTCTAATGAAGGCATTAAGGCAGAACTCTGCTATCTGTGAAGCCACTGTCTCCGGGGACACTAAGAAAGGTAAAATAAAAATATGATATAAAATTACCTTCTGAGGTACTGTAGTTTTTTAAAGAAAAATTTAACACAATAGCATTATATTATTTATCATTACCTTGTATAACCTATACCTTCACGTTTAATTCTCTAAAAGACGGTCTTATATAGTAAAGATGAATTCTTCAACATTGGCACTCGTTTGGTAATAAATACCAGTATAACTGACGCTGGGATTCGCGTGTTTGCGCTCCCCAATGTCAAACATATCTTTTTAACGGTTTTTATAATTACCTCTTTGGGAATTTCGTCATTTGTAATGTACATTATTATGTATCGTAAACGATTAAAGGACGTGCTGTATGTTATTTTGCAGAAAGCGTAGCATGGGTCCCGATGCACATATCAGACCTTGATTACTGCAACCATCTCATTACGAAGTTTGAACCAGAGCTTGACTCAGATCATCCTGTGAGTCACACTGCTTTCTTGATGAATAAGCCAAAAAAATAAGTAAATGGAAATCGAGAGTGAAATGTATGAATAATGACGATTCCTTGGCGCCAAAAATGCTCCCAAACTTCTTTATTTCTTTGTCAAGACAGCTCGAGACGCCTTTTTTCTTTTATATGGTGCAATTCTAGTAAAAAGATATTTAACCACTTTGTCACTTTCACAACATGATTAATAGTTGTCACGTTATTTTCGTCTAGGGTTACACAGATAAAGAGTACAGAAAAAGGAGAGAGGAAATCGCAAACATCGCTTTCGAATATCGACAGTAGGTATAATTATCAAAGGCACTTCTATGAAAACCCACGTACGTGTCAGCTGAAAGGACCCTTCGTCTATTTATGTTTACATATTAATACGAAATACCAAGACCCAAATACAATAGATAACAGACAATAGATGGCAAGTGTGTTAATGCAGAAAACTACAAAAGACACCGGTAGTATATGTAAAACGTTCATTCATTCCTTATATTGATTTTATTTTTGTGAACATCCTATAAATTGTTTATATATCTGCTTTCAGTGGAGATCCAATCCCACGCATTAAATACACGGAAACGGAAATTCAAACATGGTACGTTTTTGGTTAGTTATCATGTGGGAAGTTTTGTTGTACATATATTGTATAACTAGGCATTTGCATTAAAAGACGCTTAACCCGTATTTTGGCAGGGTTAAAAAAATATGAGAGATCAATGGAAAAGGGTAATTATGGAATTTGCAACTGCAAATCATATCTGTTAAATATTTAAAACTCTTTGAAGCTATGGTGACAGAACACTGGCATACAAGTTCGGAAAGCATTGTCATTATCATTGTGTGCAAGAACACGTTAAATAACACACGTTCATTGTTTAGATTGACGATGAAAACAGAAAACCTTTATTTAACACGGGTTCTCTATTCACAGGGGCACAGTTTACCGGAAGCTAGTGAGCCTGTTTAATACGCATGCCTGCAAGGAACACATAGAGGTGTTTCGTAATTTGGAGAAAGAAGGAGGGTTTAGCTCAAACAGCATTCCGCAATTGGAGGATGTGTCGCAATTCTTAAAAAGTAAGCTCAAATGAATAATATTTGCTTGCTATAATAAACAATTATAGTCTAATGAACAAGAAAGTGAGTTGTTTACGGAAATATTTGTTCCGAAAGGACAAACAAGTACTCATGAATCTTGAGTTTTATCTTTCCATTGCAAGTTATACACCAACACGTCTTCTAAATCTGACCGACCAGATTCACCTCATGCAAATATAACACTGATCTAATTGTTGAAATATTCTATTTATGTGGACCTGTACGTGATGGGATATGTGGTATCTTTAAAGCAATATCATGATATATATCGCTTTTTAATTTAACAAATTTTCGAAAAAAATAGCTTTTGCGTTAATTTGGTTTCTGAGACATAGCTGGTATCTTCATTTTTTTGAAAAAAAATATAATAAATACATTTTTTAAAGGAAAATCTGGATTTCAATTGCGTCCCGTGGCCGGCCTGTTGTCCGCCCGTGACTTCCTGGCCAGCCTGGCGTTCCGTGTGTTCCAGTGTACACAGTACATCCGGCACGGGTCTGCCCCCATGCATTCTCCGGAGCCGTAAGCAGTCACTTATTTGAATAACTTATTATTGATATACTTGCCAACTCTTGAATAGTTGGACAGATACGTGTAATTAACGACAGAGTCAAATTAAATAACTGATTAAGTAAGATGAGAATGTTGGTACCTGTAGGTGTGAGTAATCGAGATAGAATTCCTATCATATTAAAAACGAACAGAAAAGAGTTAAAACAAAGAACCTGACTAAAAAGACTGCCAGGCAGCTTTGAAATGTGTACGATCGCACTAGCTATAAAATAGAAAACACGTCTCATCATCCTAAATCATTGTACCGCAGTGTGTGCGTGTTCCTCTGATAGAATACAGAAAACATTCAAGCTTCAACACTACACATGGAACATAAACGATATGAATCGCTGTATTATACCAGTCACACGGTAAAAGCTAAAGCGTTGAGTTTTTCCTGTCAAATTTCAGAGACTGTATTCATGAGCTTCTGGGGCATGTTCCACTTCTGGCCAACCCCTCGTTCGCACAGTTCTCGCAGGAGATCGGCTTAGCCTCACTTGGCACATCCGATGAGGATATTGAAAAATTTGCTACGGTAAACATATCAGAGACCAATTAGAATTAAGGTTGTAAATTTAACAGTAACACACGTGGCTTATAAATATTTTTTTCTTTGTAAAATGACGACATAATAGCATCTTGTTGAATACAAAGCCGATATGCAAACGGATGAATTTCATGGAAAGGTGTATCCTAACGTCAAATATTATACAGTATTTTGTGAATCAGAAATGTTTCATCTTCATTCCAGTTGTACTGGTTTACTGTTGAGTTTGGTCTGTGTAGAGAGGACGGTCAAATCAAGGCCTATGGTGCTGGTCTTCTCTCCTCCTTTGGAGAACTCATGCACGCTCTGTCGGACAAGCCAGAGCAAAGGGCCTTCGACCCCCAGACGGCGGCCGTTCAGGAGTACCAGGACGTGGAATACCAACCCATTTACTACGTGGCAGAGTCTTTTGATGACATGAAAGAAAAAGTCAGGTAATACCAGACAAAACTGAAAATGTGTAAACAGGGTTAGTAGACGAAATAACAGAATTTTTTCCTGGGATCGGTTGTACAGTGCCGCCGGAATGTCCCCTTACCAAATGGCCGTATGGTTTCCCAACCCTGCCCCATATGGTCGAACAATAGAGGCCGTATGATAATTACAGGGTAGGGGAATCCCCAAGCAATCCTTATCGGACACCCAAATTAGTCGGTTCAACGAACACGGTCTGCCCCTTCTTAATTGCCTCACTTAAGGTTTCTATTATAGCTGATGCAAAGAGATTGCTATCGACACGAGCAAACAATACCGGGTTATGTATCAACTGCAACAGAAGACTCGAGTAAAGGCAAGTCAAATATTAGAACAAATCTCTGAAGAACAAATCAGGCTTAGTTTTAAAACACGTA